GTTGGAGTATCAAAAATAAATACTCCAAATTATAAATTAATAATAATTAGATATTAAGTCTCAGCATAATATTTAAATCAAGTTAATACACAATCGACACCATCGACGATAAAATGCTATTGAGATAGCACACATGTAATTAACTAAATAACTTGATAATAACAAATTTTCATATTGTATTTCGACGAATTATTTTTATTTTATGTTGCAATCCTTGTTAATTATGCTTTATTGTAAGATAGACATCGAAATTTATATAAGATAGAAAGATATTATCAAGTTTAATTTGATGATTTGACTTTACTTTATTAATTTAGGTTTCTTTTGGAATACGACATATAAAAATATCTGAATTTTGTTCTTTTTAATCGTTTATGAAAGGAGTGATATCGATAACGATTTTCGTTATTTGATATCGAGTAAACCACTAGTTATTGACCATGTTACGAAAGAAACCTCATTAATTTTTATTTTTTTTGTCAAGGTTGATAATTTTTCGTTTTTTCTACATTTTAAAAATTTCTTCTAACTGTAACAAAGCTTTTTTAATTTTCATCATATCTTCCTTCAATTTGGATATAATTGTGGCTCTCTTCAATTTGATTGTAATCAAGTTTCTCTTCTAATGTTGTTTTATTTACTTTATTCAGTTTATTATTATTTCTAAATATTTAAATCTTATAGAAAATACTCATGAATTGACTTTTGAAAGCAATTTAATACAAATACACCAATAATAGTATTGCCGAAACTAATGCATACAAATATTGTGATGGGAACATATTTCCAACAATTAAATTATACAGAATGTGTCAAATGTCTGGAATATAGCCAATAACTTCGCCATTTATGGTTTTAAAGAAAAATGTTTTAAATAAAAGTTCCTTTATTAATTGTGGCGCATTTTTTGGCGATATTTGTTTGTTTGCATTGTTTTTTGTTTCGCTGCTATGGCAACCAAAATTATTATTTTTAATGGAATGCATGTTTTTTTTTTCCATATTTTGATAGAGGATAAATCTCTCTACGCGATGAACATATCAAATTATATGGTTGTATTAGAAAAAATCGAGAAAAAAATACATATTTTACACAGATTAAACAAAACGTGGATCACAAAAACTAAAATTCTTTAAAAAATCTAAACCGAGATATGGAAACTCTAACAAATGTTCAAATTTGGCACCATTTATATCCAAACAATTTTGAAGACGATGTCTAAAGCTATCCACACTACTCAAAAGAATATCAAGTGAAATTTGTTGTATTACAATTGTTATACTCTCACATAACTGATTAAGATTTGAGGTCGATTCTCTGTCTTTTAAGTAACTCCACAAAAAAAGTTTAAAGGCGATTAATCAGGTGACCCAGCTGGTCATTCAATTGCTCCTCGTCTGCCAATCCACTTCCCAGGAAAACGTACATTTAGGTACTGCTGCACCTGAACACCACAATGCGGAGGTTCTCCTGGGAACCAAGCTTCATCCGCAGGCACTACTTCATTTTGCAGTAGATTTAAATATCTTTCTGGATTTAATGTTGTGTTTATACAAAAGATCCAATAACTTGTACACGAAGAATGCCAGCCCAAACATTATCTTTTGTGGATGTTGAGTATGGCTTACTTGAATCCAATGTGGACTCCAATATCGACTGTTATGACGATTTACTGTGCCGTTTAACATAAAAGTTGCCTCGTTTGAGAAAAGGACCAATTATTTCTTGGCAAAACTTCTGTCATAATCGGCACCCCCCAAGTTCGTGAATAACCTGAAGCTAATAAAACATGGAAACAAGAAGTAGTATAAAACGCCCCTAATTCTAATTTGTTGATTTAATATTTTCAGGCACGCACCCCTGTATATATCTTAGAATGATGAACCATAATATGTAACTAATGTATCATTTGTCTTTACTTATATGACCTTTGTTCTACTAACTTCTAGCCAATTAAAGGTTGGCTACGGCACTGCTTTCAACATAAATTTTACAAAGGAAAGTTTCTGAAATGTGTTTTGGAATAGTATAATCATTGGCGAGGTCATCAACTCTGCTGCATTCGTATTTAGGGTAGTGGTTGTTTTTTTTTCCAACTTCTACGCCACTGGAAAAAGTACGGTTTTGAGACCCCCATTTCAACCGCTAATGTTTTCTACACAAAAAAGGTACTGAAGGTCATGAGCTCTAAATTTGACCGTTTTTGAGAAAAATCTACTTTTATTTTACTAAAACGTTAGAACAAGTAACAAAAACAAACGTTAACTTCATAATTACATAATTAAAAAAAAAACAGTTACAAATCATACATAGTTAAATTAAATGTTGAAAATGTTCGCCGTTAGCTTCAATGCACGCAGTAATTCTTCGACGCGGTGACTGTCTAACATGCAGGAAAATTCCCGGAGTATTCCAAATTATGTCGCAAGATACAACAATGCGCTTTCTTAATTGGTCAACATTTTCAACTGGAGTAGCGTAGGCTAGGGTTTTCAGATGGCCCCAAAAGGAAAAATTTAAACAATTAAGTTCGGGAGATCGTGGTGATCTCATACTTCGAGAAAGATGCTTCATCGGTAAACATAACTTCGGCTCCAAATTCAGGATTTTGAGCTATTTTGTCTTGCATCCATGTACAAAAAGCCAATCTTGGCGGAAAAACTCTTGGCAATAATTCTTGTACTCTTTAGATTTGCTAGGAATACAAAAGTTGCCTTGTCAAAATTCTCCAAACCATCGAGTGAGATAGGTTTAAGTTGTCAGCAATTTTTCTGGTAGTTGTGGTCGGATTTTCATCAATTTCGTTGAGGACAGCCTCTTCTAGTTGGGGATTTGGAACTTCCATAGGCCGCCAATTATCAGCAGTATTCCTTTTAAAGCTTCCATTTTCCCATAGTCGTTGGTAAATGCGTAGAAACAAGTTATGGTGTGGTACTGGGTGATCAGGATGTCTTTCTTGATACAACCGCCTTACTTCTGCCGAATTACCGCACGTCATTCCGTAAAGGTAATGCATTCCGCACTTTAGAAAATTTTTTTCTCGCACAAAACTTAGCTTATTATGAGTAGAAAATGCTTACAAACGCTGTTTTCTGTACGATGAACGGTTCCGGAGATATTAGCAAAAAACGATTTTTTTAATTAAATTTCAACACCCTGTATCTCGAAAATGGTGAATTTTAGAGGGTAAGTTGATAGAAACTTTTTTCAAATTTTTGAACAAGCATCACATCCTGAAGTCCTGCGCATATATTATGAAACATCCTGTATAATATACCAACACTTTAGTTACTATTCTTTACTAAAACTTTGTTATTTTTACGTTGCAAAAATAGGTGCTTTGGTACTAGTTGAAAATACTATTGAGAAACCACACCTGTTTAAGCTATTGACTAAGTAATTATTTAGTAACTCTTTCACGAACTATTGTTAAGTATTGACACAATCTCTAATTAATATTTGGGTGTTTATTTCGGTTTAATCTTTTAGTTTGCAACATATGCTAAACATTGTCCAGCAATTGTTCTTTACTTACTAAAGGATAGATATTCGCAAGAGCTGTTTTCCTTTTTTTTGTCTGTCGCAACAATGTTCTGTCCTCTATGGTCTTCAATAAATATTTTTCTTGAGTGTTTGTACAAAAGATGACTTTGGTAGGAAAATACTGTTTAGCTGTAGTAAAGATTGTAATTTCTTTGGCTTAAAGCTTCTGGTCATATAAGTATTTCTTTTTGTGGCATTTTAGTACCTATTTGGTACTCCTAGTACTTATTATAAGTAGAATAAGTAAAAATAATCACTTCTGTATACTAGAAGTATATCAATTTCTAGACACAGTAAATAAAAAACGATTTCTATTTATATAGAAATCCTTACTGAAAAGAAAACTTAAATTCTTTTAAATTATCATAGATAGTCCAAGCTTGGTTTTGATGTATTGAAACTCTTCTGAGTAACCTGACCTTACCAACTGAATTATTTATTAATTCTTAAGATATTACATTCTTAGGTTTTTCTCAAGATATTACACGTTGAAATATAAATCTGCTCAGTACTCTCTACTATTTTAAGTCGTAACAGTTAATATGATTACAAAGATTTTTGATATGAAATTGAAAATAGACAAAACGGATCGGCCCTCAAAGGATTATATAAACGGAATAGTTAACATACAATATTATTTGAATGTTAACTATACAAACAAAATTGTATATCACTCCAACAAGTAGGTACTCTACACAAAAAGTGAATCCAGTGAAAGTATCACAAATATCAATAAAGTTGTCAGTATTACCATGTCAGATAAAAATTACACATCATTTGATGAACTATCTTCACTTCACAAAATAGACTTGATTTGCAAGTACAATCAGAAAAATTAATGTGAAGTGGTTTTTTGATCAACTTGTTTCCACTCAACTTAATTATTAATATTATCAATAAAGACAACAAGCATTATTTTAGAAATAAGTTGCGACAAAACAACTCAATTTACAGAAAAGAAAACGTAAAATAATTGATTCAGAAACAGTAGCAAAAGTTACGTCATTTTATGAATGTGATCAATATAGATAATGATAGATGATGCAAAGATTGTGTTACAGATATACTAAATGGCATCGAAATTCAAAAACAGAAAGGCTGTTTTTTTTGTAATCTTAATGTTATATTTTTGGAATTCAAAAATTTATTATTAATTATATTATGTATAAATTACAGATATAAATTTAGTAATTAGAGAATTTGATAAGTTATATTGTAACTACTTGTTTTTAATTAATTAGTGATGAAGGCCCCCTCCCTGATGCTATCTAAAAGTATTATTTTTGGATTTTGTAATCATTTAAGAATTCACTTACCAAAAATCATTTATTTATAAAATAGCGAATCCCTAAAGATCGTTAAAAGAAAGCTAAGTATTCTATAGTTGGTATTGTCACTTGAAAATACATTTGGCAACATTTTTTTTAAGATAGTATATTTTTATTGTGATTTTTCAGCCTGAACCTGAACACGTAATTGGTAAAGAAAAGAAACGTCGTAAATTAGATGAAATCGTACTAGGACTATCAGCAGCAAAGGAACAATCATTATTCCCAGACACATCCAAGAAAGTTCCAGTAACCCCAAGCGTTACAGTAACTCCAACCTCAGTTCCAGTAACAACTCATGCACCAACTCAAAAACCATTCACGATAACAGTTACTTCAGTTCCGTCAACGTCCCAATCGAGCACTCGACCGCTTCAAAACATTTTACCATCAACACCGGGTTCGTCTAAAGATACCTCGAGTTTTTCAAGTTTCTTAGCGCAGGCGGAACAACAAAATTTACTTCTCAAGAAGCAACAACAGCAGCGAAAAAGTTACGAAGCGATGATTGCCGATATTAGTAAAGTAACTGATTACAGCTCGAAAGTAAATTCGTATTCTCACGAAGCGAAAGTAAACAAGTGGTTGGCCGAGCAAAATGCGGCGCTTGCTGAACAACCTTTGGGTCCCGATTATTTGGCGCAAAGAAGGAGACGGCCGCGAATTGATCCGACTCTTTTAGATTGGCGGAAATTAACTGGCGATGAAAACGTTTCAGTTATTAATAGGATGACGGGGAAGAAATTAACGGGACCAAAAGCTCCAACTTTGAAGAGGTTATCTCAATGGTTGATGGAGAATCCTATGTATGACATTGATCCCAAATGGTCTGAATTGGTGAAGGAAAGGGGGAATTTGAGTAATGATCTACAAAAGAGGTTATCTGCAAATGCTAGTATTGCGGGAAGTAGTAGTACTACGACTAGTACAAGTGGAAGTGGTAGCAGTAAAAGAGGTACGAGGTTTTATTGGATTATAACAGGTTTTTTTAATTTTATTTTTTAAAGGTACGCCTGGAAGACCGCCTGTTTTATCCAGTCCAACAGGTTCAACATCTAGTGTTGGGTCAACCAATTTGGCAACATCCATGGCTTCAAATTTAAATTTCCCGGGATTAGGTTCAAACTTAAGTGGTTTAAATTCAAGTTTACTCTCTGGTTTATCAGGATTAGGACAATTCGATCCAAAGAATCCCCTCTTAATGCCGTTTGCTGCGGGAATGCCAAATATGAACGCACTCTCTTCAATGCCCGGTTTAAATAACTTAACCAACATTAACTTATTTGCAAATCTGGCAGGATTGGGATTACCTGGCCTAACAGGAATGGATCCTGCTTTAGCAGCTGCTGCAGCGGCCGAAACGACTACTAAACCACCGTCTAAAGGAAAACAACAAAAACCGGCGGAAGCTCACAGCTCAAGTAAACCATCGACATCAACTTCGAGTTCGATTCCAACGACGAATCCTTTCCCATTTTTCTTCCCAAATCCTGGTCTTTTGTATACACCTCTTGGTTTGGGTAACTTAAACCCGTTTTCGTTGCAACCTGGGATGGCGTATGATATGTTAGCTCAACAATCGGGATTATTAAATGGAAATCTTAACCCGGCTGCTTCACCTAATTCAAATAAATCGGGGAAATCATCTTCTTCAAAGCCTTCTTCAACAGCAACGACCACAACAAGTTCTTTGGGTAAAGCGCCTAAACCTTCCTCTGTTACAAGGGACGCACACCAACAACAATTACAGCAATTATTATTGCCTCATGATACGCATTTATTGGAAAACTTATCAAAAATGACTGGAGCTTTAGATCCGCATAAATTAACAACCAGCAGCAGTAAAAAAGACGATAAACGGAAAGCTTTAGAGAATTTAAGAGGAATGTTGCCGACCGATTTTACAATAACTTCAGATAAAGTAAAAGATAAAAAATCGGCAACAACTCCAACAATTCCTGGTTTAGCAGATTTTAGTAAATTGTTTGATAGTCCCATGTCTTCGAAAAAGTTCCAAGAACAACATATGAAGGAAACTTTAGAACAAATTACGAAAACGAACGAATACTTAGCTAAAGCTATGGCAGAACAACAACAACATCAACAAATGTTAGCTAACGTTAGCGTAAGCAATAAAAGACCAAGAGAAACACCAGAAAAAGAATCGCCAATTCAAAGTGTCCCATTACCTGCTGTTCAACCACCTCAGCATCAAATCCCTTCAATTCATCAGGAATTACAACCCCAACAACCACAACAACAACAGCAACAACAACAACATTGTGATGATGAACCGCCAACGAAAAAGTTTAAAGAAATCGAAAATATTGCCCTCAAACCACAAGAAATTATTCCACCGAATCCAATAATTCCACCAAACGATCCTATTCAAAATAGTATGGATATTGAAAGTTTATTACCGCCATCCACAGTCGTAACAAGAAACGAACCGGAAATTGATGATAAAAAAGAAGTAGTTGAAATGGAAAATCAAGAAGTAACAAAAGAGAGTGAACCTCACGAAATAATAGCCACCCCAATGCTTGAAAAGCAGGAAATAGCAGAAGCTTCTCCCAAAAAAGGGGTAAAACGTCGTGGTAAACGTAAGTCTGGGGAGCACCCCATCGATCCAGAATCAATACGAGAAAAGAAAAATTTGCGATCAAGCGCAAGTAGATCAGCAGCCGCGGCTGCTGCTCGAGCTGAAAGGGAACAAGCGGCCGCCAAACTAGAATCAGAAAACGCCCTACGAGCACAAGAAAAACTACAACAGCAGCAACAAGACTCTTAAACTTAAAAAAATTTGTGCGCAAAAAATTTTCCGTTTTAGTGTAGATTCTTTTCCGTCTCTGTGGGTGTTTTGTGGTGAACTGTGATAGAATTCATCGACTGACGCTTAAAATAAGTGTATAAAAAGAAAATGATTCATTGAAGAGAAATGTTAGTATGTAACGTAAACGGAAAAAGATTTTAAAGTAAATTCCGTTTCGTTAATTTCCCTTAAAAATTATAAAGAATAAGGTTATAAAAATGGCTTAGTTGAGAAAGGCGAAAAGTTACGCTTCACACGCGCATGTACTCCCTTCATCCCCCTCGAACGGTTAAAACAAGTTCTTTAGCGAGTAATTTTAAACTATAAATATAAATAAATACGTAGGAGTATTCAATGACTATTGTAATCAAATCGTAAACGATCCTGTATTTTAAGGTAATAATTTTTTTTAATTTGTACTTGACTCCTCGAATCCAAGTGTTTATTTCTTATATTATTTCGAAAGTTTTTTTACATTATGGTGCATATTTTGCCTTTTTTATTTTTATGGTAAAACTTCCATTTTTTAATTTTTATTATAATTATTTATGATTTTTTTTTGGTCATTTTAGTCCAAATCTAAAAAATTAAGGAGAGTTTAATAATAAATTTGATTTTTTTTTTCTAACAAAGGTTTGGACTACACGCGATAATTGTTAAAACTTTTAATACATCGTTTTTATCGTGTATTTCAATCTACTTTAAGTATAAACGTAGTTTAATTATATTATCTGTAAAATTGTAATACATTGGAACTTTGTACTAAAGGACAACTTGACTAATGAAAAAAGTAAAAAATAAAAAGTAAACTTAAAATTATTTTCATTGTTACTGCGTATAAATAAAGAAAGGGCAGTGGTGAAATTAATTTTATTATATTGATACAATTATTATCATAAATAGTACACTAAAAATAACATATTCATCGCAAGTTATGTACCATACGTGTAGAAAGATCAAAAAAACATTTAAAAAAAAATGTGAAAACAAAAAAAGTGTTGTAACATGTTTTTAGTTGATTACTCTTTGTATATATTCACTGATGGGTATAGTGTTTAAGAGTGTTCTTAGTTCTTTTTCTTATATAAACAAAAAGTGTGAAAAAAATATGTAAATAATACTTTTAGCATTTTACTTTCTTTTTTATTTAAAGAAAAACAAGAAAAGAAAATAATGAAAAAAACAAAAAGTGAGCGTTTCGTAGTTGTAATAAGTCTGAGTATTTATTATTATATAGGTTTACACTGTTTCTGTGTCTCGAGTTTTTGCGTATTTATTTCGAATCTGCATTTAATTTTTATTTTCATTCTTTATTAATTTTTTTTTGAAATAGATCTGTTGTCATCTATATACGACTTATATACACGTACGATAATGGTAGCTCTCTCATTTACTTGTTATAATGTTCATATAGATAATTAAACTATCTATACAATATCTAAAAGACTTTTATTGTTTTATACTCCATATTTCATTTTCCCATTTTTACTATTTATATATCACCTATATCACCAGTATTCAGCACAGAATATAATTCAGCACAAGAAAAGTTTGACTTACAAATAAAACAAAACTTATAAGTACACTAGGGTCTCGATTTGCGTCGGGGTTACGTTCCGGTAAAGTGCGACGCAAATCGAATCACATTATTCCATAACACACCATATAAATTTATTAGATTAGTTCCGGCGACGTCGTAATCACTGTGTGAAATGCGCACACACATGTAATTATTATACAAAATCATTGCTGGGATCAATGTTAGGTAGTATTTTAATAAACAATTCAATAATATAGATTCCTGCAGAAAAGCGTTGTAAAGACTGTCAACCTTCATTTAGGTGATCATTTAGCACAAAAAGCATCTTGTAACTTGACATCTGGAAAACAAGAAATTAAAATAACACAAAGAAGAAGAATAAACGCTACTAANCTATCTATACAATATCTAAAAGACTTTTATTGTTTTATACTCCATATTTCATTTTCCCATTTTTACTATTTATATATCACCTATATCACCAGTATTCAGCACAGAATATAATTCAGCACAAGAAAAGTTTGACTTACAAATAAAACAAAACTTATAAGTATAACTACTCTACAACAACCAAAATAAATCATATCACACTCTACTACAAAACAGAATTAATTAACTGACAAATAAATAACGAAACATGACTAATCTGTAGATATAATGTTCTTGATATATATTGTAAACCGGCGCAGATTATCACAGTTTCTTACCTTGATATGTTATTTTCTTTTTACCAACATTTTTCGCAGTGGGAAGAACATGTATTAGCTGATTTGTTTTAGTATTGTATTTATGTATATCATTATTACATAGAAAAGAAATCGTTGTGTCACTGAGCAAGTTGTTTTTTATTTTATATATCAACTTGAAGCTATCGATCTTAATAATGTTTATTTATTTATTCATCCAAAATAAACAGGGTTTCCCCTAATTACAGATTTCGGAATTACTACATAATAATTAAACAAAATTTAACTAAATATTAATTTAAATTAAATATTAAACTAAGCCGTACTCGATTTGTGAGCAAATAATAAAAAAGCAAATAAGTAAAAATAAACAAAATGAAACAAAATAAAACAATAACATAAAAACAGAACAGAGGAATGGAATAGAATGCGCGAAGAATTATGAACTTATGAGCGGTTGCAACGTTCATCACAGACATCAAATTCTTTTTTACTGTTTTTACATCAACGCCAAATAGTGGGATGAAGGAAGCCATAGATAGTTTGTTATATNCTACTAACATAGAGATTTTCAAACGTCTATTAGTAGAGAGCAATTGGTCACAAATACATAATACAAGTCTCAATGCACAAACAACTTACACAAAATATCATGAAATCCTCATGACATGTTTTAAAAGGGCGTTTCCAGAACAACCTGTAAAAACGTTTGTAGAGAAATTAAATTTAAAATGGGAAACAGATAAACTAGCCAAAATGAAAAATCAACTTGATGCGCTATATACGATTTTAGAAGTAACAATACATAAAAACACCTATAAAGCATTTAAGCAACAATACAGAAATGAAGTTGACTGCGAAAAAAGAAGCGTATGCAAAGTATATAAATAACGCAGAAAACAAAATAAAAGTAGCTTGGAAAATAACATAGGAAGAAGTAGGTAAAGGATGCATTAAAAGTGAAGTTAAGACCACACTGAACGCAAATGTTCTCAATAATTATTTCATTGCTATTGGACAGTCANTGTTTAATATTTTACATAGAAAACAAAGCGATATGATTTTCCTTCTAATAGATAACTTAGTTATATCAAATAATGTACGCGCAAATTCGTACGATCTGAACCCGATAAAGGCATTAAATTGTTTGTAATAAGTATACCGAATAAACTTATTTTGAATAATTTCGATTAAGTTTGAATAAAGGTCTGATCCAGGATCCCATACAATTACCGCGTATTCTAATTTAGATCGCACCAATGAATTGAATAATAATTTTAACGTCTCCACATTTGAAAAACTGTAAGCATTTCTTATAATAAATCCTAAGAGTCGTAGTGCTGCGGAAGTTATGGTTTTCACGTGCTCGGCAAAGCATAAATTGTTGGTAAAAATCAACAAGGTTACGATCAGAAAATAAAAAGCAAATATCTAGAAGTATTTACGGGTATCGGAAAACTGAAAAACTTTAAATATAAAATTCAATCGAAAGATAATGCGACAACATTTGCGGTAACAGTACCGAGACGAATTCCGATTCCACTTCGCAAGGAAGTAGAAAAACAGCTAAATAAAATGGTAAAAGATGATGTCATACAAAGGGTAGAGGAACCAACCGAATGGTGTGCACCGATGGTGGTAGCGCAAAATAAAAATGGAAAATTGAGAATTTGTTCAGATTTTACCGAGCTTAACAAATACGTGAAAAGGGAAGTATTTCAACTACCTTCAGTGGATGAAACCTTGGCTAAACTTCAAGATGCAACTATTTTTACAAAATTAGATTTTTCTAGAGGGTTTTGGCAGCTGGAATTAGATGAAGAATCTCAAAAATTAACAACTTTTCTAACTCCGTTCGGTAGATTTAATTATAAAAGAATACCATTTGGGATATCATCTGCACCTGAGATTTTTCAACGTACAATAAACAAAATTTTGAAGGAAGTAAATTCGGACAGAATTGTTGTTCATGCGGACGACATATTGATAATGGGGAAAAATATAAAAGAACACGACGATCTTTTGGAAAAAGTGTTAAACGTTTTAATGAAGAATGGACTCACATTAAACAAGGAAAAGTGTGAATTTAGACGAGAAGAAACAACGTATTTAGGTTATGTTGTTGGAGCTAAGGGAATATGCGCCGATCCTAAGAGTGTAGAAGCCATTATGAGGTATCCACAGCCAGAAGATATGACAGAAGTAAGAAGATTTTTAGGTATGGTGAACTATATGGGCCGATTCATACCTAATTTAGCAGAGAAAACTAAAAATTTACGCGAAACAATGAAGAAGGACAGAGAATTTACGTGGAGTGACGATCATGACAAAGAATTCGCGAAATTAAAACAAATCATAGTGAATGCGCCGGTATTAACAAAATTTGACACGCGAAAACGAACTCGGGTAACTACAGACGCGTCATCATACGGGGTTGGTGCCGTGTTGGAGCAAGAATGTGAAAGGGACATGTGGAAACCGGTGTATTTCTGTTCTAAAACGTTAAACGATACTCAAAGGTGTTATGCGCAGATCGAAAAGGAAGCATTTGCGATAACGTGGGCATGTGAGAACAATTTTTGTTAGGATCTAAATTTCAAATCGTAACGGATCATAAACCGTTAACCGCGATACTTAAAACTAAAGAGTTAAATAAACTATCGAATAGACTTCAAAGATTCAGAATGCGATTGTCAAAATTCTCTTATGACATAGTGTACGTGCCGGGAAAAGAACTAGTAGTAGCGGATGCGCTGTCGCGAGCGCCGATTTGTGCGGATTTATCGGAATTAAATACATTACTGGAAGATACTGACATTTATGTGAATGTGGTTATCAAAGAGGTAGGACAACAACTAATTACAGAAGAAACCATTAAGAAGAAGCAAGAATTGGATACGGGAATCGAATACGTGAAGGGGTATGTAAGGAACGGATGGCCGATGAAGAAAAAAATAGATGTTTCAGCGAAAGAATACACAAAATACGCAAATGATCTTAGAATAATTAACGGCATACTTACATATGGAGATCGAATAGTCATTCCCAAAGAGTCCAGAAAATATTGCCTTAAAGCTATCCACGAAGGGCATTTTGGCATAAATAAATGCTTAGCGAGAGCAAAAGAAACTATTTGGTGGCCAGGAATAAGACAACAAATATTGGACAAAATAGAAACCTGCGAAATTTGCTTGAAGAACAAGATACCTCCAACGGAACCAATGATTCCGAACAAAGTGCCACATAGACCATGGGAAAGATTGGGGACGGATATAGCTACTTACAAAAATACGAACTACTTAATAGTACAGGACTATTATTCTAAATACCCTGAAATCCGAAAACTAGATAATTTACGTAGCGAAACTGTCATAGAACAGCTAAAGGATATAATGTCTCACCATGGAATTCCAATAGAATTAAGATCAGACAACGGAAAACAATTTGTCAGTTACGAATTTAAACAATTCGCCAAAGATTATGGTTTCAAAAGTATAACCAGCAGTCCAGAATATCAGCAGGCAAATGAACAGGCAGAAAGCGCTGTAAAGATTTTGAAAAAGATTTTTCGCAAGAATAAAGACACGCATCTTGCGCTGTTAATTTACAGAAATACTCCTTTAAAATGTGGGTTCTCTCCGGCTCAATTGCTTTTTGGCAGGAGGTTAAGAGAGAAAGTACCAACGCTTAAATCAAAATTGGATCCCAAAGTACCAAATCATAATAAACTGAGGAAGGAATTTGAAGCCGAGAGGGAAAAACAGAAAGAACAATATGATCGAAGACACAGAGTAAGAACAAACACACATTTGGAAATCGGTGAAAGAGTGTGGATAGTGAACATGCAAAGAGAGGGAATAGTGAAGGAGGCGACAACAGAACCAAGATCATACATAGTAGAGACGGAAAAGGAGGATATTCGGAGAAACAGAAAACATTTACAGCCACTACCAACACAGGACAGAGACAAGGATCATGCAAATGTGGAGGAGACCAAAACAGAAAATGACAAACATATAACAAACGAAGATACAATAGTCGCGGAGAAAACTAACAATGAAACAGAAGTACCAAGACGAAGTGAACGTACAATAAAAGTGCCTCAAAGATTAAGAGACTATATTAGATTTTAAGTTTAAATGTTATACTTAGAAAGAGGGATGTTGGGTGGTTGTTAGACAACCTGTAATACGGAAGTTGTAGAATAAAGA